AATAGAACTATTTTTGACCCAGCAATCCCACTTAAGCCTCTGAAAAAAAAAAAAAAAAAAAAAGAACTCAGACTGGGGGAAACAGTGACTTCTCTCTCTATGGCTCCAGACACAAATGATTCGGCAGAGATGAGAATCTAATGCAACAAACGCTCAGAGGCAAGATAATAAATCAAGGAGTAAGGTGAAAAGACTGCAGAGCTGAGGACACCAACTGAGATCCACATGACACCAATAAAGAGCTAATAAATAAATTAGAGCAGTAATAGCAGAACAGACACAACCGGAAATTGAGTGAGGTAGCAGAGAGGGCTGAGGTGATTTCAGTGAAAGCAGGAAAAAGAGGGAAAAAAACTCATCTTGCTCCAATCAGAAGAAATGGGATCAATACAGAAGGCAAAGGGGACGAGACAGACAAATTAGTTTCCTGAAATAGAAAATCTAATGTGTATAACCAGAGAAAGTCTTCAGAAACAACAATTTTAAAACTTTTCCTAAATTGAAGGAAAGATTAAATCTGGTCACAGTATTTCCCAAAACCACCTTAAAAGCAGGAGGTGATGTATCAGACCTGTCTACACATATCTCAGGGCCGGGTGTAAGGTGCACACTTGTAATCCCAGCACTCGGGAGGCTGAGGCAGGAGGATCGTTGCAAGTTCGAGACCAGCCTGGACTACAAAGTGAGCTCAAGGCCGGCCTGAACTGCATAGCGAGACCCTGTCTCAAAAGACAAAAATAAATAAATAAATAAACAAATACACAAACATATCTGAGGGAATGAGGCCCAGGGATAATACCACCTCCAGTGTGGCCATTTTCAGGTACACAGGCAGGGCTGTGGATATAGCTCAGCGGCACAAGCGCCCGCCTGGCAAGGGCAAGGTCCTGAGTTTGATTCCTGGTACCAAAAAAAAAAAAAGTTAGGCAAGTATACAGGCAGCAGAAAAGCCCCAATAGGAGCAAGTTCACAAATGCACACCCCCGCCAACAAGAAATCCTGCCCTCTAGTGTTTAGGGACATAACTGAGGGTGAGACGGAGTTACCCGTGGAAAACAACAAAAAAACCCCAAAACTGCTGGGTGTGGTGACACACACCAGTAATCCGAGCAGCCTAGCACCCTGTAACTCTAGCACTCGAGAGGCTGAGGTAGGCGCATCACTGTGAGTTCAAAGCCAGCCTGAGCTACACAGTGAGTTTGCAGCCAGCCTAAACTAACTAGCAAGAGCCTGTTTTAAAAAGCAAAAAAAAAAAAAAAAAAAAGTAAAATTGCCAGGTACAATTGCACATGCCATGTGTAACCCCAAAAGGCTGAGGCAGGAGGACTGCAAGTTCGAGGCCAGGTTGGGCAATTTAAGAAGACCCTGTCTCAAAATAAGAAATTCAAAACAGCTGGGGGTGTAACTCAGAACAAGGCCCTGGAATCAATCCCTAGCACTGTAAACAAACAAAACAAAAAAAAGAAAACAATAAAACTAACAACAGAAATTAGGGTGGGGGGATCTGGCATGGTAGTACACATCTGTAATCCCAGCCCTCGGGAGGCTGAAGCAGGAGGATTATTGTGAGTTCAAGATCAGCCTGGGCTACAAAGTGAGCTCAAGGCCAGCCTGAACTGCATAGTGAGACCCTGTCTCAAAAAGACCAAAAAAACAAAAAACCCCACTTACAATATATCCTATTCTTCTGACCACTTCCACTGAGCCAGTCAGTTTTCTATCCATCCACTCAGCTAGGTCTCTGGAGAGAAAGATGGCCAGATCGAGGACCACCACACACTAACGCTGTCATTTCTGAGAAGTCGGAGCTTGCAGGATAAGCCATCGAAGTTAGAAATCTTTAGAAGCTACACTTCTGGGTGGTATCCGCCCATCTCTTATGTATCTTGTGTTCTGAAATGCGTCCACAGGCATTAAAGAAACTGCACTCTTCTGGCCATAAGGGACCGCTGAGAAGCCAGGCAGAGTGAGTGACACATGCCTCTAATCCTGGCCCTCTGGGAGGCTGAGGCGGGAAGATCACACTGACTTAATAAAACCCTGTCTCAAACCCAAAAATAAGAGAGGTCCAGGGATGTAGCTCAGTGTGAAGGCCCTGCGTTCAAGTCCCCGGCTGAACCCTTGGTACCGCAAAAACAGAGCAAACAAGACCCAAAAACCTGAAAATGGCCAAAACACAGCAAGAAAAGACTCCATGAAAGACAACCTCACTTGCTTAAAGCCCAAAGTGCAGGCCTTAGCAGAGATAAAGGCCAACTGGGAAGCGAGGGCTGTTGGATGAGGCCAACGAGGCCCAGCTGCGCAGGAACCGGAAGGCCCCTATCTCCACACCTGCCCGTCTCGCTGCTCCGCGTTCCCGGCCGGCTACTTCCTTAGAGCACCTTCCCAGGCGCAGGGCTTCACCCGTGCCAGGCCGGACGGAACTCCTGATCTCCTCCCTCCCAACCCCGCACTCCCTCCCCGTCTCACTGGTCCAGTGGGAAACTCGTGGTTGCCCTGGGCCACTTCCGCCTCTCCTACATCCCACCTGCTGCAGCCCTGCGCACCAGGTCTGCCAGGCAGAGCCAGGGTTAGTTCAGCGTCAGTCGCCCCTCACTGCCCTCCGATGCCCCGCCCAGTCCGACCCCATCGTCTCCAGTCTGGACGGTTACAGCGATTCCTGGCCAGTCCTGGGACCCTTCTGCCCCTCTGTTTACTCTCCAAGAAGCAGCCAGAGGAATCTTCATACAGTGTTGGTCAGATCATACTGGAAACTCAACAAGGAAGCCGGGCGTGGTGGCACATGCCTGTAATCCCAGCACTCAGGAGGCTGAGGCAGGAGGATCGCTTGAGTTCGAGACCAGCCTCGGCTACAAACTGAGCTCAAGGCCAGCCTGAACTGCATAGCGAGACCTTGTCTCAAAAAGACCAAAAAAGAAAAGAAAAGAAAAAAAAAAAAAAAAAGAAACTCAATAAGGGCCCCCATTTTACTCAGAATAAAACCCCAAGTCCCCACCATGGTCAGGTCCACACAAGCCCCTACCTCAGTCCGCCTCGTCCCAAGTCTCACCCTGTCCACATCCAGAACTGCAATATCTCAGAGAGGACATCTCTAATCTTCACTGCACTGTACCGGCAACCTGCTCCCACTCCACCACTAATGGAAATTGTGTCTCTCTTCACAGCTACAGTAGAGCGTAGAAAACCATCTGACAAAAGCAGCTGCACAGTACTTTCGTTTGCGTTTTGGTATGGTTTGTTTATTGGTGGTGAGAGAGATCGAACCCAGGGCTTCACAGAGAGCTACATCTCTAGCCGTTCTTTATTAATTTTTATTTTTGCTAAGCTGCCCAAGCTGGGCTTGAATGTCTGATCCTCCTGCCTCAGCTTCCCAGCGTGCGGGGGTTACAGATGTGCACCGCCACGCTCAGCTTCAGTAGTCAATATTTTATTCTTCTCAAAACACTGGGAATGTTTTTTTCCCCACTTCTAGTCAAACTACTCTATGTATCACTACCGTGCTGGCAAACAGTATTTGCTCTCAGCGACCCAAACATGAAAGTTACGAAAAACGATCGAGCCAGGAGTCAGGATTTGCTTCTGGACAACTAACTGCACGTGTGTCTGCGGCAGGCAGGAGCTGTCACCGGAATGAAGTCACCCAGACCCAGATACGAGAAGAACAGCACTCTGGCCACCTCATCACCCAGTCAGGAGTCCGCGAGACCTACCTGTCCCTGTCGGGTCACCGCCCTGGATCATAAAGTCCTTGATGATTCTGTGGAACTTGGTGCCGTTGTAATAACCGCGCCGGGCCAACTCCGCGAAGTTCTTACAGGTCTTTGGTGCGTGCTCCCAGTACAGCTCCAGCACGATGATTCCCATGCTGCGGACAGAGGACAGCACTGCTGGTCAGGAGCAAGGAGACGGCACCAGGAACAGCAGGGACTGTTCTGGTTCTCTTTTGCTTTGTGTTTTCGAGACAGGGTCTCGATAAGTAGCTTAAGCTGGCCTTGAACTGACTATGAGTTCAATTCCCCAGGACGGAAGGGCACTGAAGAGGTAGAATTTTGCCATACAAGAAAGTGAGGAGGAGCCCAGGGTATAGCTCAGTG